TAACCAATAAAGAACAAAAACAGATTCAAAATCCTATATACCAAGAGAAAAAATTTTTTTTCAAAGAAACAGGAAAGAAATTTAGAATGCCAGTGTCATTGATAAATGCATCGAAAGATTAATGTATATAATTAAAGATCCAAAAAAGACCATTAAGAGACATCATAACCAGATGAGGAAAAGGTACTCTGAGGATGTAAATAATCAAAAGGAAGAACCGATGAAGGTCATTTATGACTTATTTGACAAACTAATGCCCTTAGTAGCCCGAGGAGAAATGTTCAATTCAACAGAAAAGAAAATTTACAGGGACTATAGGGATAAACCCAGAAAGGAAAGTAGTCAATTCAAAAAAAAATGGAGGTGGGGAGTAACTGAACAACAATATGGACTGGGCTGAGACTATTTAAACAGCAATCTCTCTTAATAACAATCTCTCTTACTGAGTTCTTTAGAGACATATTATTCTCCAGTTAATGATTAACTGTTTATTACATTAATCTGTGTTCTTAACCATGTACCATATTATTCTCCAGAATAAACTACTTCTTAGTTTCTATATGTGTGTCAACCTTATTTACAACACAACACACATTTTCAAAATAAGTAAGATTATATACTAATATACAAAAGTTAAAAAATAAACTTTGTGATGACAACAATATAAGGACAAAGAAAAGCTTTCAATATCTATGCCGTAGTGACCTTATCCCAAATTTACACTATTTACATGCTGATAATTGTCCTCATCTTTGTTATTGTTATCACAACATTCTGGTCATCTTGCCCTCAGGTTTTTATCACGTGTATCTTGATCCAGGTAAGCTACAAGGAATTTTGAACTGAACCTTTTATTTAATCTATCAGATAAAATTAGATTTGAATCATAAAAAAAAAAAAAAAAGGCCGGGTATTTACATTATACAGATGATTCCTTTGGTTGGGAGACATAGGCAGCAGAATGATCCAACAATTTGTCAATCATTTCTCTCAAAATAGCCATCTCTATGCCATAGATTAAATAAAGTGTTCAGTTTATATACCTAATGAAAGCCAAAGAGCACAATGGTCAAAATGTTGTGATGACAACAATATAAGGACAATAGTTAGCAGATAATTTTTTTTTTTTTTACTAAAGAATTAATTACACAGTTATGATTGATTTCTGTCTTATCTTTTTAGAATCATCATCAAATTTCTGCCTGGTTCTAGGGATACACCCAGTTTGCTCCTGTCCAAGTTTGGTTTAATACAAAGAATTGATCCAAGTTATTCCCTTGTTATGTCAGGAGATGAGAACAATCTACTTTTGTGGATCTTATGAAGAGTTTGGATGAAATTACCAGAAGGTTAGCAGCTCCATCACATTTTGCTCTGTAAAAATGCTGTTTTATGTCCATTGAATATGCATACCATTATAGCCATAAAATGTTATAATGAATCATTTTGTATATTGCCCGCATAACTAGTCTAGCTTTATGAGGATGTTTGCCATTGAATTTTATTAGTATAAACAATAGTTGGTCATATTTTTATTAAAAACATTTCAGGTTAGAGAAGAAATAATAAAAATGATGGGATTATTTATTGGTCTGGCTTTATTTTTCTTTCCAACACTGATTGAAGTCTAGCTTTTGGGTTCACCTTGTTCCATAGCCTCAGATCAAAAAGTTCCTTCTTCAATTTGATTCCTATCATCATTGTTTTTAATGGATTGTCCTGGACTTTCAAGTATAGAATTGGATTTTTTTGGTAGTATGTGTGCTCATATGTTGTGCTGTTCCTGGTTCTTCAAACATCGTTTCGTCAGACATTGAAAAGATCCTTCAGGCTCACTATTGGTGGATTAAAGCCTATTTCAGATATGATGTTTCTGGGTAGAGACTCCGAATGGGTGCAGATCTGCCCCAAATCAAGTGCCTGCTTGTGCTCCCACCTTTATAAATCCATGCCATCTATCACAGAAATTTTTGGAAAACAACTTTTTTTTTTTATTAAAGCATTTTTCAAGACTCACACATTTTTTTCCAGCTGCATGCATGGCATTGAGGTTACCATTCTCTGATGAGGAGTTTATCATTAATAAAAACAAGCTGATTGGGGCTGAATCCGTTTAGCACTGAAGTGTATTCTTTTGCACTTAAAACATTTTCCTTGATTTTAATTTTTCGAAAACTCAATTTATATTTATAAATATCATTCATTTAAACCATTTGATGTTTCAAAATTTTCCACGATCCTTCTGTGTCATAATATAATAAATTCCCTACCATTATCAGTTAAATATCTATGTATCCAGTGTTTTATTTCTTTACTTGGAATCCTCCATGTATCTGGTATCATGGTCAAAACCAGAAACATGTGTTTCATTAAAATAAGATCTAATGGGAATTATGGAAACTTCATAGGAATTTGGATAATTTATATTTTCCAAATCACATAATTTCTTACTACTGGGATGATATATGTAATTTGGTTGCATCACTTTTGTTTTTTAGAGGAGATTTCTTTAAAAACCCTCTATCTGGTAGGGGTCTGGTGTTAGGGATTTTCTTTGCATCTCAAAAATAAAATACAGGTTCCAGCTTTTTCATTGCATCTTTGCAAGAATGTCAGAATCCTTAATTATAATGTCTGCGGGACACATGGTAGAGTCACATTGTATAGAGTCCAGCTTGTTTCCATCCCCGAACTTAAAAGTTCTCACCTTTCCTCATAATTATTTTTTTCTGTATATAATGTTATATATTTTCCACAAACAGTGCCAGATATATATATATATTGAGATACAGATAACTTTCGTGCCCTGAATTTGTCCCGGTACTGATAAATTGCACTTTAAAGCAACAGCATACAACCACTTTGTTTTTGTCAGTGGAGCGTGTTTTTGTTGTTGTTGTTGCCTAAAATATTTTTCTAAATTAAAAAACGGGTCAATTTTTGGGAAGAGTTTAGCCATACCTAAATTTTTATTTTCAGTAAACCAATTTACCACCACTCCAGTGAAGAGTTCATAGATGAAGGGGGCGTCTATGCATAAACAAGATGTTTCAGGGTTGAGGAAGGTGATTTGAAATTTTCAACTTATTAACAGAAATTGATATAAAATAAAAAATAGTAACACAAATTTAGATGAAAGTTTCCAATATTCTATTAATGCTACAACACATCTTTGAAGCATCAAACAGGATACGGAGAGAATATTTTATTCTGATACACTTTTCAAGATAGCATGAAGGATACTAATCACAATAGTTGATATTTATTAAAACACTAGTACAGTACCTATAAAAAAATGATGGGATTATTTATATATGGTTCAAGACTTCTGCCTCAGATCAAAGAGTTCCTTCTTATTCCTATGTTTAGAATCAGAGTATAGAATCTTCATACTGTGAAAAGTATTGCACATATATATGATAGAATTATGGAAAATAGAGCATAATATATATTTTAAGATAAAATATCCCCATTTCAGCTAAAAACCTTTGCAGTTCATCTTTTGAAAATATACACTTTTTTTCTCAGAACAATACCATAAAAAATATATATATATATATGACATAACACACTGTAAATTGGCAGAGTTTTCAAGACCTATATGGCCTACACCACTTTTTCGTACCGCTGCCAAATATATCCCATTAAAACTTGAACATATTTGGCATATTAACTTGATTAAAATAATAAAATAGTAACACAAATTTAGTATTCTATTAATGCTACAACACACATCGCATCAAACAGCTGATACACTAAAGCATTGAAGCTGTTTAACTCAGGCAGCCATTCAGACAACAAAATGTTCATGATAGTATTACAATTTAATAATAATAATAAAAGCATAAATATATATAAGACTTTTATTTGAAAATTATTTAAATAAATAATTATATATATTTAAAATTAAACATAATTATGTTATAAAATCATAAAAGTGATTTTATAACATTTATGTTATAATTTTCGAATAAATTATATTTGCTCTACACTGTATTGAGCACTCTTTTAAGAATATAGTTACTGGAATTTATTCCATATACACCAATCCTATATTTGGGGATATATATATATATATATATATATATATAAAAAGCCAAGAGGAAAAACTATTCTTAGTTAACACGTTTTGTTCTCTGAGGGACTTTATCAAGGCAAATGTAAGGATTTATTTTGTTGCCCGTGTTTATATACAAGATCAAGGATGTCATTTGTTTATCAAGGCTTTTAATTTGTAACCACTCATGAATATTCATCAGGTAGTTAAAAGGTCAGTCAAAATATGTGGAGGACACAAAGTGACATAATTCAAAGTCTGGTAAGACAAAAGTAAGCAAATAATATTCAAGAAATATTTGTTTCTACCTCTTATTTTTTTTTCTTCATTTTGTTCCTTCACGGATACACTATCTGAAAATAATTTCCTTATATTTATATAGTTATTTTCCAAGTGTAGCTTAGATGTAGTACAAGGCTGAAAGTATGGGGCACCCAGTGAGAATTGAACTCACTACTCAGTCGTAATTGTTTTAGCGAGACAAGCTTGCTAACCATTATACCACCTGGAGGTACCCACTTTTATATATATATATATATATATATATATATTTGTGTGTGTGTGTGTGTGTGTGTGTGTGTGTGTGTGTGTGTGTGTGTGTGTGCATATATTAGTCATCCACAGACAAACTGTTCCGCTGTATCACAGCTCCTCAGTGTGGCTAGGCATCTGATTGCTTCAAGCCAAGATCGAAACCTGACTGATTTGACATCTTACCTCTAGGTCATCGTCACACAGCAGAAAGGAAGGAAATTTTAATGTTTTTCTCTATACAAAATACACCATATAGAGAGAGAGAAAGAGATCGATACATAGAGAGAGAGAAAGAGATCGAGACATAGAGAGAGAGAAAGAGATGGTATTTATCAATTCACCCACAGGAATTGAATGTGGCACAAGGCCTTTTTAATGTGGGTATGTCCGAGAAGATAGAGATCGAGACATAGAGAGAGAGATAGAGATCGAGACATAGAGAGAGAGATAGAGATCGAGACATAGAGAGAGAGATAGACAGATTGATGCATAGAGAAAGAGATGCATAGAGAAAGAGAGATACAGAGAGAGATAAATACATAGAGAGAGAGGATAGATATTGATACACATTGCTTTTTAAATATGTTGATTTCTTTTACTATTCACTAAGTTGTATATATTTTTGGATCTAATTTTTCATCATCTTTTCAATATGTTCAGTGTATAAAACCTGGAATATTCAGAAGATGGTGTGATTAAACAGCAACCTACCACTCCTCTCTGTTTCATAAATCAAATACTGATTAACAGCTAATAGGTTTTAGGCTTCAGAATTATCTTCATCCTATTTGTTTTATCGAAAAATGTCTCTTGGAAATGTTTATATATAAAATCATCCGAGTTTCTTACAAAATTCTTTTATGTCTGTCATTGCTTGTTAATCAAATATGTTGTGATTATCTGTATGGAGATAATCTTGTTTGACTCGCAGATCATCATTATGTTCTGCTCAGGCTGCAATTATGGATTTTATAAAAAGTTGAGCCTTGAAAAGAAAAAAAAATAATCCTAATAAATGGTTGCACGGTTATTTTAATTGATAACACAATTAAGTTTGTTAAAAGGCATACAAAAGAGAATAAGATGTTGATATTTTGTTTAAAGATTTTCAAATATTGAATAGCATAAGAAAATAAACTGCTAATATGGCTTCTGTAAGTTAAATTCTCAAATATCTGTTGAGGACATAATATAGTACATATGTTCTAAAATGTCTGTTCCAACTTGAGTTGGATAATTAAAAAAAAAAAAACACATAGATATAGATATATGTATACGTTCTTTTATAAATAAACATACACAAGTCGTTAAGTGTTGGTATTAGAAAGGCTTTCGAGATTATTGCCTCAAAATCTTACTTAGTATTGTATTACTTAAAAAGAACTTTTTATTCTACTTCTCCATGTTGAAAAGAGAAAAATATTGAGAAATTCTAAATGTGTAAAAAGAAAAAAGATATGTTTTATGCAATGGCAAGATTATTATGCATAACCTGGATCAATTTTTTTTTTTAAATAATTTCTCTCCTGACGTGGTAAGAAAATTAAATTATAATGATATCTACAGCCTCTTTTTCATTTCATATAATTCTGTGTGGGCTCAGGATATAAGTAGATTACAGATTGTGAGTATAAAATCTAGAAAGTTTATTTGTTAACCCTATGCTGAATGGTTGCAGCGTAACATGAGGAACTTATATCTATATTTCTGAGATGAGTTATAGTTGGCCACTCATATTCAAGGATACCTGTCTACTAGGGCACCTAGCCAATTGCTATTGCAGATGCTTGCTCAGATGCATTTGTGTTTATTCAACACCCACAGAGCTCACCTGTGGTTTATGCTGCAACTATACTGAGCAAACCTTAGTTACAGTTTCTGGGAAAGAGCGTGTTATCAACAATTCAAACAAGGCCAGCAAGCTCAAGACCTCGACCATGATGACTTTTGACTTTGTGCTAGCACAGCTATCAACAGCACCCAAGAGTTCTGTCTACTCAATTTCACTCACAAGGCTTGGGTTAACCAATGTTATGGTTTTCAGGTACTTTCCAAAGGTGCCGTATGCTGGGATCAACACCTCCAGTCTGATAACATCAGGAAGTCTTCCTGACAAATTGACCATGGTGAGATTCAAACCCGAGTCTCATTGTCAGGATGCAAACGTTCTAACCACTTGATACGAGTGGAAGTATTGTAACTATTTACATCATTCAGACTGTTGTCCCCATCTTTATTACCATATTCACAACGTTTCAACCCAATAATACAGAGAGCTCGAGGAAAACAACAATAACAAAAAATTGTAATATGAGCTCTGGTAAAAAATATATAGTAAGACATTAGGTTTATAAGTCCCAAAAATTCATTCAAATAGCCAACTGAATAAAAGCATTCGTTGAGTAATCCAAAAAATGACTTGACCCAAAGAGTTATGAGTTCAATACCTGAACACAGCAGAGGGAACAAAAACATGGAGAGGAAAGGAATTAACTAAAATTGAGTTATCAAAAAAAAAAAAAAAAAAAAAAGGCATGGCATGTGGAATTAAAACAATCTACCTCTGGTTCGGTTCAAATTGGCAATAAAGATGAAGACAACAGTCCAGATGATATAGTGTAAATGAGAAACCTAATAAGTTTACTTCTCAGTCTTAACACATTCATTGCCAAAGGCCATTAACTTTTACTGCTTTACCTGTTAAGCACCAGACTATGTTAATTATGTCAAGTCCCTCTTTTTAAATTCTGCACATTGTCTTCAACACACTAATGATGCTTTTTGTCTCAGTGGAATCCCCATTATTTTATTCTTGGCCTAAACACATTGGCATTGAAGGAGACATTTGACTAATTTTGTCATTATATGTAAGTCATGGAAAATAGGTTATAACTTTAGTTTCTTTTAGGAAAATTTCAGCTAGATTTATATTTTCACTTTAGTTAACATGATGGACACAAAGTTAAGCTCCAATTTTAGAGTCATTAAATCAAATACTTCACTAAAAAATACTAAAATTCTGAAATTTTCCAAAACTATTCACTAAAAACATGTTCTATATTTGTTTAGTAATCATAGCTCTTCCTGTCTTTGAGTTTACATAATGAGAGATGAACAAAAAAAAAGAGACATTTGGTGAAGATCAGTAAATAAATCAAAAGTTGTGTATTAAACTTTGTTGTGAAATTTATCCAAAAACTTTCAGAAATTAAATCCTTAAAAGCACTTGAAACTGAAGAAAGTAATAAATCAATAAAATTTTGTTCTGACTGACATTTAAAAAATTAGAGAGTAAAATATAAAATACTTTGGAGGTCAGCCTACTGAAACCATGACGATATTCAGTCACCCCCCCCACACACACACGAGGGTGTCATGTGGCACAAGGCCTTTTTAATGCGGGCATTCCGAGCCCGTGGGCTCGGCCAAAAATATGCCCATTGAACCCGTATAAACGGGTTCAGGGACGGTCTACCACCCCGAAGGAGACTCTGCCCTTCGGCGTAGCCTCCTTCGGGTTCCTCCCGTCCGTAGCAAGAGAGTTTAACCAAACAGTCAGTTCAGACTTGAATGACTGCTACTGAAATCATGACAGAGAAATCTCTATAAAAAGTATTGGAAACAATATATAATTAAGAGTCATAATTTCAAGTTGGAATTAACTTTAAAGCTAAAACAAGATCAGTAAAGGGTTAAAAAATTGTCTAACAATAAGTGGAAATAACAAAGATTTATTTATATTCGAACTATTGTCCTCATCTTTGTTGTTATCACACCATTTCAGCCATAGTGCCCTTCAGTCTTTCTCAGGTGTATATCAATCTGAGTAACCTACATTCTGAACTGAACACTTTATTAGTTCTTATTTTTATTTAATACTGTTCAGTTATTGCTTGCCTGTTTTCACTGTGTAAGTACACAATGCCCAACCCAAGGATTGAACTCATAACTACTATGTCACTAAATTCACAAACCAACACTTTGGTCCAGTAGACGAGGGGTCGGCAACCTTATGCTAACTGTGTGCCAACTTAGGGTTTTAAAATCATTCAGTGTGCCAACAGCATACACATTTTTATCCAAGTCAAGGTCAATATACCTGTTCTACAATATATTTTATATAGTAATATATGGTATATATACTTTAGTATATATTAAAATTGAAACAGTTATATATATTCTTTACACTGTAGTAGTTATTGGTTCAGACTTTGTGACGTCATTTGTGGCTGTGTGCCATTGAAAATTGCTTGGCATGCCACATGTGGCATGCTTGCTGTAGGTTGCTGAGCACTGCAATAGACCATTGTTCTATAGGATAATTTGCTGTAGTGAAATTAGAGCCTTAAACCTAACCTAACTGCTGCTATGGTTGAAGACTTGCTGTCATTTCTTTTTCTTTCTTCATTAGTAGCTCATATATTGTATTTCTTTAAATAATGATAACTCCTCATACCAGAAATATAGACAAAAATTAAGAAAGAGATGTGTTTTACACAAACTACACACTTAAAACATGCAAATTATTACAAATAAGAGCGAACAATTATCTCATTAAATTTGAGAAACTTTGAGCCTGCTACTTTAAACTGAAATAAGATTTAAGAGAATAGAAATTTCAGATACAGTAAATCTTACAATCCAGTTTTTACATAAACAAAATCCTGGCATAGGATTGTCTTGCCAACAAAAAAAAGTTTAATATCTAATTCCAGGGATCCATCCCCTGCCCCCTCCATTGTACTTAAATGATAGGGCTCTTGGCATTCCCTGTTGACTGCAATATATGAAATGCAATAATAAAAAAACAAGGTAATTTTTGTTTCCACTTGCATGTATCAGGTTTCACATTTAACCAGACCTTGTGTCAAATTTGTTCCATGGGGAGGCAAATAAATATTTTTTCAGAGTATATTGTTTCTTTTAGAAATACAAAATCAAATACAACAGAGATTTAAAAAAAATGTATGCAATGTCTAGATCACCACTGGGGATTAAAAAAAAAGCTGCAGTAATTTTGCTTATTGGCTTCTTTGTTTGTTTTCTGTGGTGAGTACAGTGGATTTTAGGTTGACGTGAAACCATCCTTTAACTTTTAGAGATGGCCCAGTTGACATTAGTCTTGATTTTTGGATATATTGGGATCAAATAAATCAAATACAAAGTGTGGATTTAAGTGATAATGAATTGTCAAAATGCAGCAGGAAGTGAAATCCAAAGGTATCACCTTATGAAATCAATACCAAAAAAAATAAATGATTCACATCCTATTTCTCAGAGCAGAATTATCCCACAATCAGGTAAAATTTACATTTTTACTTTTCAAAGTAAATTTGTCTCATTTTGGCTGTCATTTTTATTTTCTTCAAAATGTCTAATCACAATAGACTAAATTATGTTATAGTCAAATAGACCAATAGATACATTGAACAAGTAGATAAGACTGATGCTCAGACACTTGCAAAGCTCTTTGTACAAACAGTTAACTTTCATTAATGATTGGGTTTATGTTTCTACAGTTGAGAAACACAGGTATACCTCACCTTATGTCATTAATTGGTTCCAGAGGT